CCCCAAAACCCCAAAACCCCAAAACCCCGGATTGTAAGTGGAAGTTTGAATTTTTTTAATGTTGGATATAGGATTTTGGATTAATGATAGGGAGGATAAAGCTAATCTCATTGAAGAAAAGATTGAGAATCTCATAAGGTAGCTCATTCTTCTTTTTTATTCATACAACCCATGATCTAAAAGACCTCTCATTTATCCTTCTGCTCCCCCTTCCTATCCCAACACCTGCTTCCAACCTTCCTCTATCACATACTACTATATTTCCATACCTATATCTCTTTCCTCCTCCCATAGCCCTCCTATTCTCCTCTTCCATGCCAGCCTTCTCTGATTCTTCTTTCTCTACTCTACCCAAGTCCTATTTTCTACCTATAAATCCCTATATTTTCACTCAAGCTTTAAATTCATGAGATAGCCAAGAGAAGGCAACCTTGGAGGAAAGCAAAGAAATGGATTTTCAAAGAGCAAAAATAATTGCATATGAAATCGGTAGATCAGAAACCAGTAGGCAAAATATCGAAAATGATCAATATGAATATTATCAGGATTATTACTTTGGGATTTTGTGGAGCCAAGAACTAAATAAAAAATATTTAAAGAAGATGAGAGGGCTCAAGCCCTTTGATATAGAAATTGTTAGAAATATCAACCTTGTGGCTCTCCTTTAGCTTTCATTTAAACAATTAATCTACGTAACAGAAGTTGCATTTCTCAAACTCATGGTAGGGAGTGTCCAAGATATGATAGAAAATGCTTTAATCCAGATTTAGTTTATTTATAGGCATCATTCATTCAGGAATATTTAGCTCAAATTTAATTCAATTTCATGACCAAAACTGAATCTTAGCTTAAACTTCTCAAAATTTTGCTTGTGGCCCTGAATATTTATTTTACCATACCCTCCCTCAAGGGGACAAAGGAGCATTCCTGGTACACTATTACAGAGTAAGGATCTCTTTGAACCTGCTTTCAGGTTTGCTCTAGCTCACCCTATGCATGAAATGGCTGAACAAATTATCTAACTTAAAACTCTGAAGTATGCTGTGTTTCAATGTTTCTGATTGGATAATTATCAATTCAAGAGACTCATTTCCACTTTCAAACATTTGGAGACACTGACTCTGCAAGAGTGTAAAATATCATTGAAAGATAATCTAGATTTTTCAAAATCACTAGTAAATTCCAAGTATAAAAAGCTGGATTTTGATACATGCGGGACTTGCTGGACTAATAACTGGGGAAGAAACAAAGATCATTTACAGAAGCTAATAAAGGCATTAGCTTCTTCACAAGACATAAGAAATAACCTCCAAGAGCTCTTGCTTATGGATTGTAGTCTAGATGATATAGATGTTCTAAAAACTCTGCAAGAGAATGGTCTCGAACATATAAAGTATTGAACTTAATAGAAGGTCTTTCAACCTCTTTTTGTTAATTGGGGTTTTGGGGTTTTGGGGTTTTGGGGTTTTGGGG